CAACCTAATAGGGATTTTTCCATGTAAACCAGTATAATGCAACTTAATAGGGGTTTTTACATGTAAACCAGTATAATGCAACTTAATAGGGGTTTTTACATGTAAACCAGTGTAATGCAACCTAATAGGGGTTTTTACATGTAAACCAGTATAATGCAACTTAATAGGGATTTTTACATGTAAAACCATTGTAATACAACTAAATGGGGCTTGGCCAGAACCAAGACCATACCAATATCAGACCAAGACCCAAACCAACATCCCGAACCAAGACCAGACCAGACAAAGACCAGACCAAAACCCGACCAAGACCCGAACCAAGACCAAGACCCGAACAAAGACCAGACCAAGACCAGACCAAGACCAGACCAAGACTCAAACCAAGACCAGAACAAGACCTCTGTATTTAAAAGCCTGAATTTATTAGATTTATCGCCCAGCCCTACATAAATATATACTATAACAATTTTTTTTAATGGTTAAAGGCCTTCCGTCCTGAGACCATCCTGGGAGGATTTCATCTTGGCCCGTGCATTTTTTTTTTTTTCATCCCCTGGACTACAGGACTATGTTAGTCTCGAGCCCTGACGATGACACTTACTAAAAAGAGCAGACATCTTTGAGTGGGCATCAGTGCACACTTGTAATGTTGACCTCTGCCTGTGTCCTGCTCACTTCTGTGGTGAAGGTCATTCAGATTTGTTTTCCTTCTCCCTGCCCTGTGAAAACAATGTGTAAAACAAATCTGTATTATGTACAAAGGTCTACATGTTCTGTTGCGTGTGTATGTATGCATTCCTTTATGTAGAGCAGGACTGGATTGGTTTAAACTTGTTTTTGTAAATACAAGCTCAAATCCTCCTCAGGAATACCAGCTGATGGTAATCCTCATAATGTCAATGTCCAGTGTGACAACTATACAGATACCAAACATGTCTTACTTATTTAATTTCTATTTTTTAATTTCTTTTTTTTTGTTACAGTAGAAGGTGTTGAATAGGGTTTTTTCATGTATAATGCAACCTAATAGGTTGCATTATACCACCAGACCAAGACCCAAACGAAGACTCAGACCACCACCAGATAATGACCACAGACCAGGTTTCCTTAGTTACAGGAACCAAATTGTTTCAGCGGTGAGGGGATTTTTCAGTTTCAAGGACACTTTCAATACATTCAGTAGTTTCAAGGATTTCAGCTGTTTAAGAATTTAACCAGTTTCAAGGATATCAGGAGGTTCAAGGATTTCAGGAGTTTCCACACTTTCAACAGTTTCCAGGTTTAAAAAAGTTTCAAGGATTTCAGGAGTTTCAATGTTTCAACAGTTTCAAGGATTTCAGGAGTTTAAAGGTTTCAACAATTTCAAGGACTTCAGGAGTTTCAAATATCTATCAAGTATTTTAACAGTTTCAAGGCTTTTTAAAGGATTTCAAGGATTTTTTTTAGCAGATTTCCACATTAGATCTGTTCCGCAGTCAATCGCAATGGCTTCAGCCATTGCAAGTTTCTAGTTATGTATGCTGATGTAAGAGTGAGATTATCATGTATGCTGATGTAAGAGTCAGATTATTATGTATGCTGATGTAAGAGTGAGATTATTATGTATGCTGTTGTAAGAGTCAGATTATCATGTATGATGATGTAAGAGTGAGATTATCATGTATGCTGATGTAAGAGTGAGATTATCATGTATGCTGATGTAAGAGTCAGATTATTATGTATGCTGATGTAAGAGTGAGATTATCATGTATGCTGATGTAAGAGTCAGATTATCATGTATGCTGATGTAAGAGTGAGATTATCATGTATGCTGATGTAAGAGTGAGATTATCATGTATGCTGATGTAAGAGTGAGATTATTATGTATGCTGATGTAAGAGTCAGATTATCATGTATGCTGATGTAAGAGTCAGATTATCATGTATGCTGATGTAAGAGTCAGATTATCATGTATGCTGATGTAAGAGTCAGATTATCATGTATGCTGATGTAAGAGTCAGATTATTATGTATGATGATGTAAGAGTGAGATTATCATGTACAGTATGCTGATGTAAGAGTGAGATTATCATGTATGCTGATGTAAGAGTGAGATTATCATGTATGCTGATGTAAGAGTGAGATTATCATGTATGCTGATGTAAGAGTGAGATTATTATGTATGCTGATGTAAGAGTGAGATTATCATGTATGCTGATGTAAGAGTCAGATTACAGTCACACAGAGGCTTAAACTTTCATGTCTCGCCCTAAATCCAGACAAGACTGTATCAATGGATTTCAAAATCCGTAAAATTCCTAATTGTCTGATTATTTTAATAATAATAAAGATTGCAATTGCTGAACAAGTAAAGTATTTAGGAGTCATGTTGGATCCAAATTTAGGGTTTAAAAAACACTTAAAGAAATGATCAAATACAGTTAAATTTAACATGTTACAGTTTTGACACAGAGGAGCCTCTCTTACTGCACTGATGGTTCCACATTTTCTTTATTGTACGACTGGTCTCACGCTCCTGAATCTGTCCTGAGGCTCTCGAGTCGCTTTATGGAAACTCAGACGTTTCACTGCCACATTCTCACAAAACATAAAATCACTTCATTAAAAGATCCTTCATGACACCGCTGCTCCTCCACTGAAAGACCCACCGAGCGAGAGTAGGGTCCTCAAACCAGACCCACCGAGCGAGAGTAGGGTCCTCAAACCAGACCCACCGAGCGAGAGTAGGGTCCTCAAACCAGACCCACCGAGCGAGAGTAGGGTCCTCAAACCAGACCCACCGAGCGAGAGTAGGGTCCTCAAACCAGACCCACCGAGCGAGAGTAGGGTCCTCAAACCAGACCCACCGAGCGAGAGTAGGGTCCTCAAACCAGACCCACCGAGCGAGAGTAGGGTCCTCAAACCAGACCCACCGAGCGAGAGTAGGGTCCTCAAACCAGACCCACCGAGCGAGAGTAGGGTCCTCAAACCAGACCCACCGAGCGAGAGTAGGGTCCTCAAACCAGACCCACCGAGCGAGAGTAGGGTCCTCAAACCAGACCCACCGAGCGAGAGTAGGGTCCTCAAACCAGACCCACCGAGCGAGAGTAGGGTCCTCAAACCAGACCCACCGAGCGAGAGTAGGGTCCTCAAACCAGACCCACCGAGCGAGAGTAGGGTCCTCAGACCAGACCCACCGAGCGAGAGTAGGGTCCTCAAACCAGACCCACCGAGCGAGAGTAGGGTCCTCAAACCAGACCCACCGAGCGAGAGTAGGGTCCTCAAACCAGACCCACCGAGCGAGAGTAGGGTCCTCAAACCAGATCCACCGAGCGAGAGTAGGGTCCTCAAACCAGACCCACCGAGCGAGAGTAGGGTCCTCAAACCAGACCCACCGAGCGAGAGTAGGGTCCTCAAACCAGACCCACCGAGCGAGAGTAGGGTCCTCAAACCAGATCCACCGAGCGAGAGTAGGGTCCTCAAACCAGACCCACCGAGCGAGAGTAGGGTCCTCAAACCAGACCCACCGAGCGAGAGTAGGGTCCTCAAACCAGACCCACCGAGCGAGAGTAGGGTCCTCAAACCAGATCCACCGAGCGAGAGTAGGGTCCTCAAACCAGACCCACCGAGCGAGAGTAGGGTCCTCAAACCAGACCCACCGAGCGAGAGTAGGGTCCTCAAACCAGATCCACCGAGCGAGTGAATGTGAGGTTTTAATAAATTGTGGACGTGAAGACTTGTGTTTTGACCAAATGTAAACCGTACATCCATAAATGTGTGTTACTTTACTGTAATATAACATCAGCCTGAACAGGGCTACAGCAGGAAATGAGCTCTGAGCTATAACCTGCTGCACTGCATCTTTCCCTCTGAGGTTAATGTTTATTGAACACTGTCCCTACAGCTCTCTCTGTTATAGCTCTCTCTGTTATAGCTCTCTCTGTTACAGCTCTCTCTGTCATAGCTCTCTCTGTTATAGCTCTCTCTCTGTTATAGCTCTCTCTGTTATAGCTCTCTCGGTTATAGCTCTCTCTGTTATAGCTCTCTCTGTTACAGCTCTCTCTGTTATAGCTCTCTCTGTTATTGCTCTCTCTGTTATAGCTCTCTCTGTTATAGCTCTCTCTGTTACAGCTCTCTCTGTTATAGCTCTCTCTGTTACAGCTCCCTCTGTTATAGCTCTCTCTGTTATAGCTCTCTCTGTTATAGCTCTCTCTGTTACAGCTCTCTCTGTTATAGCTCTCTCTGTTATAGCTCTCTCTCTGTTATAGCTCTCTCTGTTATAGATCTCTCTGTTATAGCTCTCTCTGTTACAGCTCTCTGTTATAGCTCTCTCTGTTATAGCTTTCTCTGTTATAGCTCTCTCTGTTATAGCTCTCTCTGTTACAGCTCTCTCTGTTATAGCTCTCTCTGTTATAGCTCTCTCTGTTATAGCTCTCTCTGTTATAGCTCTCTCTGTTACAGCTCTCTCTGTTATAGCTCTCTCTGTTATAGCTCTCTCTGTTACAGCTCTCTCTGTTATAGCTCTCTCTGTTACAGCTCTCTCTGTTATAGCTCTCTCTGTTATAGCTCTCTCTGTTATAGCTCTCTCTGTTATAGCTCTCTCTGTTACAGCTCTCTCTGTTATAGCTCTCTCGGTTACAGCTCTCTTTCATAGCATTATAGACTGTTGTTGTTTATGTTTCAGACTCTCATCTTGATCCGATGCCGCCGTCTGCACAGAGGCCTGTCGGCCAATGAGAGAGCAGCAAAGGACAGTTTGACCAATCACAGAGCGGTGCCTGAACCGGCAGCTTCTATATGGAGAGGGTGAGCAACAACTCCATCTAGTGGTGGAATCAGGACATTACATCAACAACATTAACACGTGACGGTTAAACATGTATCTTTTATCACCACTGTATTTACATTTCCCAAACACACTACGCCATAACACACGTCACATGTTACTTGTCCTGTGTCACGTGTTACATGTCTTGTGTCACATGTTACATGTCCTGTGTCTCATGTTACATGTCCTGTGTCACGTGTTACATGTCCTGTGTCATGTGTTACATGTCCTGTGTCATGTGTTACATGTCCTGTGTCACGTGTTACATGTCCTTTGTCATGTGTTACATGTCCTGTGTCACATGTTACATGTCCTGTGTCACGTGTTACATGTCCTGTGTCATGTGTTACATGTCCTGTGTCACATGTTACATGTCCTGTGTCACCTGTTACATGTCCTGTGTAAGTAAGTAAGTAAGTAAGTAAGTTTTTATTTATATACCGCCTTTTCACTGCAGATTTGAGTCTCAAAGCGGTTTACAATTGTTAATTTTGGGCATTTGTCTCTCACTCCACACAGAGATGGGAGCGGGGTCGCCAGTACAGGAGGCACATGCCAGAACTATTGGACATATTTTTTAGTGGTAGGGGAAACCGGAGTACCCGGAGGAAACCTACGCAGACACGGGGAGAACATGCAAACTCCACTCAGAAAGGCCCTGGTCCGACCGGGATTCGAACCCAGGACCTTCTTGCTGAGAGGCGAGAGTGCTATCCACTCAGCCACCGTGCCTGTCCTGTGTCACGTGTTACATGTCCTGTGTCATGTGTTACATGTCCTGTGTCACATGTTACATGTCCTGTTTGTGTCACATGTTACATGTCCTGTGTCTCATGTTACATGTCCTGTGTCATGTGTTACATGTCCTGTGTCACGTGTTACATGTCCTGTGTCACGTGTTACATGTCTTGTGTCACATGTTACATGTCCTGTGTCTCATGTTACATGTCCTGTGTCACGTGTTACATGTCCTGTGTCATGTGTTACATGTCCTGTGTCACATGTTACTTGTCCTGTGTCACGTGTTACATGTCTTGTGTCACATGTTACATGTCCTGTGTCTCATGTTACATGTCCTGTGTCACGTGTTACATGTCCTGTGTCATGTGTTACATGTCTTGTGTCATGTGTTACATGTCCTGTGTCACGTGTTACATGTCCTTTGTCATGTGTTACATGTCCTGTGTCACATGTTACATGTCCTGTGTCACGTGTTACATGCCCTGTGTCCTGTGTCACATGTTACATGTCTTGTGTCACCTGTTACATGTCCTGTGTTACATGTCCTGTGTCACGTGTTACATGTCCTGTGCCACATGTTACTTGTCCTGTGTCACATGTTACATGTCCTGTGTCACATGTTACATGTCCTGTGTCACGTGTTACATGTCCTGTGTCACATGTTACATGTCCTGTGTCACGTGTTACATGTCCTGTGTCACGTGTTACACCTCACATGTTACATGTCACTTGTCACATGTCATACAGTGCCTTGCGAAAGTATTCGGCCCCCTTGAACCTTTCAACATTTCGCCAAATTTCAGGCTTCAAACATAAAGATATAAAAATAACATTTTTTGTCAAGAATCAACAACAAGTGGGACACAATCGTGAAGTGGAACAAAATTTATTGGATAATTTAAACTTTTTTAACAAATAAAAAACTGAAAAGTGGGGCGTGCAATATTATTCGGCCCCCTTGCGCTAATAATTTGTAGCGCCACCTTTTGCTGCAATTACAGCTGCAAGTCACTTGGGGTATGTCTCTATCAGTTTTGCACATCGAGAGACTGGAATTCTTTCCCATTCTTCCTTGCAAAACAGCTGGAGCTCAGTGAGGTTGGATGGAGAGCGTTTGTGAACAGCAGTCTTCAGCTCTTTCCACAGATTCTTGATTGGATTCAGGTCTTTAAACTTTAACTTTAAACCAGACTTTTTATGGATATCTTTGAGAAATGGCTTTCTTCTTGCCACTCTTCCATAAAGGCCAGATTTGTGCAGTGCACGACTGATTGTTGTCCTATGGACAGACTCTCCCACCTCAGCTGTAGTTATCTGCAGTTCATCCAGAGTGATCATGGGCCTCTTGGCTGCATCTCTGATCAGTCTTCTCCTTGTTTGAGATGAAAGTTTGTAGGGACGGCCGGGTCTTGGTAGATTTGCAGTGGTCTGATACTCCTTCCATTTCAATATAACTGCTTACACAGTGCTCCTTGAGATGTTTAAAGCTTGGGAAATCTTTTTGTATCCAAATCCGGCTTTAAACTTCTCCACAACAGTATCTCGGACCTGCCTGGTGTGTTCCTTTGTCTTCATGGTTCTCTCTGCGCTTTAAACAGAACCCTGAGACTATCAAAGAGCAGGTGCATTTATACAGAGACTTGATTACACACAGGTGCATTCTATTTATCATCATCAGTCATTTAGGACAACATTGGATCATTCAAAGATCCTCACTGAACTTCTGGACTGAGTTTGCTGCACTGAAATTAAAGGGGCCGAATAATATTGCACGCCCCACTTTTCAGTTTTTTATTTGTTAAAAAAGTTTAAATCATCCAATAAATTTTGTTCCACTTCACGATTGTGTCCAACTTGGCGAAATGTTGAAAGTGTCACATGTCACGTGTTAAATGTTGCTCAGAGATTTTGATCCTGAGGCCACTAATCAACTCTAGAATCTTACTGTGGTGATGTCACACTGTGGTGATGTCACACTGTGGTGATGTCACACTGTGGTGATGTCACACTGAGGTGATGTCACACTGTGATGTCACACTGTGGTATTGTGGTTGGGACAAACAGATTATTTCTGGCAGTAGAGGCTCCTTAAGAGTTTGTTTGTGTGTGTTGCAGCTGCTGGTGGAGGATAAAGAGGTGGAGGATGAAGAGGTGGAGGATGAAGAGGTGGAGGATGAAGAGGTGGTGCAGAGGAAGCCCCGCAAAGCCCCCTTCCGCCGCATCCTCCTCGCTCTGGTCTTCATCTGCATCTTCTGCATCGTGTTTGGTCTGAACCTGACACAGAGCTCCAGCTGGAGGCCGCAGCTGTGGTCACAGAGGAACTCCTCTCTGTCAGATCCGCCCTTCAGCCTCACAGACCGACCCAGGACCAGGACCAGCACGGCCCCAGAGGGACCTCTACCAGCTCCTGAATACAAGTCCCCTGGTCCATACCTAGTGGAGTACCCCCACAAGTACCCCTTCCTCATAGAGGAACCAGACAGGTGCAAAGAACTCGACCCGTTCCTGGTGCTGGTGGTTCCCGTGGCGCCGCACAACGTTGCAGACCGCCAGATCATCCGCGACACTTGGGGAGCGCCCGCCGTCCTGTCCAAGAAGAGGACCGCCTTGTTCTTCCTCCTGGGCCTGGGGAACCCTGAGGACCACGCACTGATGGAGGAGAGCGAGCACCACCGGGACATCGTCCAGAGCAGCTTCATCGACTCCTACAAGAACCTGACGATAAAGACCATGGTGATGATGGAGTGGCTGGACGCGCACTGCCGCCACGCCGCCTACGCCATGAAGATCGACTCCGACATGTTCTTTAACCCGTCCAAACTGCTGGAGGTGCTCGGGGACTCCAGGAGAGTGGACTTCCTGAGCGGCCTGGTGGAGCGCGCCGCCACAGTGCACCGCTACAGGAGCTCCAAGTGGTACGTCCCAGAGGAGGTGTTCCCTGAGAGCGTGTACCCGCCGTACGTGCTGGGCCTGGGGTACGTCTTCTCCATGGACCTGCCCAGGAAGCTGCTGGAAGCGTCTCGGGAGGTGAAGGCCCTGTACATTGAGGACGTGTATGTGGGGATGTGCATGCGGCGTCTGGGGCTCCAGCCGCAGGACCCTCCCGCTCCCGGGGCCTTCCACGTGTTCCCGCCGCCGTACTCCAGGTGCGGCTTCTCCAGGATCATCGCCACCACTTTGGACACACACACGGACAGAAGGCAGCTGTGGAGAGACTTCAGCCAAACTGCACCATACTGCCCCAGGCAGACATGACCACTCTGTCTCTATGGTCTCTCTCTGGACTGTCTGTGTGTGTCTGTGTGTGTGTGTCTGTCTGTATGTGTGTGTGTCTGTGTGTGTGTGTCTGTGTGTATGTGTCTGTCTGTATGTGTCTGTGTGTGTGTGTGTGTCTGTTTGTGTCTGAGTGTGTGTGTCTGTCTGTGTGTGTGTGTGTCTGTTTGTGTCTGTGTGTGTCTGTGTGTGTGTGTGTGTCTGTGTGTGTGTCTGTCTGTGTGTGTGTGTGTGTGTGTGTCTGTGTGTGTGTCTGTGTGTGTGTGTGTGTGTGTATGTGTGTGTCTGTCTGTGTGTGTGTTGTTGAATCCACTTTGAAGCACTTTGTTGTATAAATCTCTTTGTCCTGAGCCTCAAATAAAAAAGTTGCAAACATTTGTTGTAATGTTTTATTTTCTTGCAAAGAAAGATTTGGCAAAGACATTCCAGCACATTCCTGATGAAACAGCGCCCCCAGAGTCTGTGGATGGAACTGCACCTCAGGCCTCAGAGGAAAAGTACACTCCTCCTGGTCTCCTCTGATTGGTCAGTCCTTATATGGTCATATCTGGATTATTAAAGACGATATCACAGATAAATACAGATTTCAGCCCAAAATAGTGATGTCACACAAACGTTACTGAGCTAGAGGAGTCTACTTTACATGGACTCAATAGGAGCCAAACTTCACCATGAGCACTTCCTTTTTGGGTTTTAATGAGCTAGCGGGTTAGCCTTGAGTTGGTGGATTAGCATAGAGCTAGTGGGTTAGCATGGAGCTAGCGGGTTAGCATTGTCCATCTGTATACAGCCTCTGCACATGACACTGGTTTCAATGAACTTCAATCACTTCTCTTCGTCACTCTCCTCTGGCTTTGGTGCACTCACTCCCCATGGCATGCTGGGTAATATCTGCCCAAGCCACTCCCCCCAGCTCCTATTGGACGCTGCCCCTCTCTCCACCTCCCACCCTCCAACCACCCAATCATAGTTCTCTGTTCCTCCGCCATCTTTTTCGCCTTCCTCCCTCAGAATAACGCTGTAGCGCTTCTTGGACACGCCCTGGTTAGTTTTGCGGCTAGCTTGGCATTCCGCTAGCACGTCTTTAGCTTCAATTTCCTCTTGTTTGCTAATAACGCGATACTTTTCTTGCTTGTGAACATGTTTCCCGTCTGCAGCCCAAGCCTTTGGTCCTAAATTGACACAAATTTCCTGACTCTGGTTCAAATCCACAAACAGCACCGTCTGAAATCTCTGATGCTTTTCCACATTCCCAGAATACGCCGTCATTTGGACCTGCTCCTTTCTGGCTACGATACATTTCAAAGACTCGTAAACCCCTCTGTACCAGGACAGCAGCCGGAGCACTGTTATCACCGAGCAAACACCGGACAGGACCAGGAGAAACACCACGCTTACGAACAGCCAAAAGCAGAAGGCGACCCGCGATTCAAGATGGCCGACTTTCCCACCACTTTCCGCACGGCTAACCATGCTATCCATGCTATCCATGCTAACCATGCTAACGTCCTCAAATCCATTGGACGTTGTTGTTTCCACCGTCTCAACTCTGACAGAAGTGGTGTCCTGGTTTTCAGGTGATGTCGGAGAGGGGAGGGTCGATGAGGGGGGGGTCAAAGAGGGGTAGGTCGAAGAAGGGGGGGTTGATGAGGGGGGGGTTGATGAGGGGGGGGTCAATGACGTGGAGGGCGGGATTTCGGCCGATGGTTGTTTGGTCGTTTTGATCCTTTTCCGTCCGTCTCCTCTGAGGATTTCCCCAGGATCAAACCAAACATGTACAGGTGCAGTAGTAGCAGTAGCAGTAGCAGTAGTAGCAGTAGCAGTAGTAGTAGTAGTAGCAGTAGCAGTAGTAGCAGTAGTAGCAGCAGTAGCAGTAGTAGCAGTAGTAGTAGTAGTAGCAGTAGCAGTAGCAGTAGTAGTAGTAGTAGCAGTAGTAGTAGTAGTAGCAGTAGTAGTAGTAGTAGTAAGAGCAGTAAAAGTATCAGAGCTAATCGCACAAGGGACTAACTCCAGTTTGATGACGGCTGTTCCTCTCAGAGGCTGTGGACTGTCACAGATCTGCAACAGAGAGGTCAGAGGTCAGAGGGCAGAGGCCCTCAGTGTCTCTCAGTCTCCCTCAGTGGCCCTCAGAGGCCCTCAGTGTCTCTCAGAGGCCCTCAGTGTCCCTCAGTGTCCCTCAGAGGCCCTCAGAGGCCCCCAGAGGCCCTCAGTGTCCCTCAGAGGCCCTCAGAGGCCCTCAGAAGCTTTCAGTGGCCCTCAGTGTCCCTCAGTGGCCCTCAGTGTCTCTCAATGTCCCTCAGTGTTCATCAGAAGCCCTCAGTGTCCCCCAGAGGCCCTCAGTGTCTCTCAGTGTCCCTCAGTGTCCATCAGAAGCCCTCAGTGTCCCTCAGTGGCCCTCACTGTCCCTCAGTGTCCCTAAGAAGCCCTCAGTGTGCCTCAGTGTCCCTCAGTGTGCTTCAGTGTCCCTCAGTGGCCCTCAGTGGCCCTCAGTGTCCCTCAGTGTCCCTCAGTGTCCCTCAGAGGCCCTCAGAAGCCCTCAGTGTCCCTCAGAGGCCCTCAGAAGCCCTCAGAGGCCCTCAGTGGCCCTCAGTGTCCCTCAGAGGCCCTCAGTGGCCCTCAGTGTCCCTCAGTGTCCCTCAGAGGCCCCCAGTGTCCCTCAGTGTCCCTCAGTGGCCCTCAGAAGCCCTCAGTGTCCCTCAGTGTCCCTCAGTGTGCCTCAGTGTCCCTCAGTGTCCCTCAGTGTCCCTCAGTGGCCCTCAGAGGCCCTCACTGTCTCTCAGAGGCCCTCAGTGTCCCTCAGTGTCCCTCAGAGACCCTCAGAGGCCCCCAGAGGCCCTCAGTGTCCCTCAGAGGCCCTCAGAGGCCCTCAGAAGCTCTCAGTGGCCCTCAGTGTCCCTCAGTGTCCCTCAGAGGCCCTCAGAGGCCCTCAGAAGCTCTCAGTGGCCCTCAGTGTCCCTCAGTCAGAGGCCCTCAGAAGCCCTCAGTGTCACTCAGTGTCCCTCAGTGTCCCTCAGAGGCCCTCAGTGTCCCTCAGAGGCCCTCAGTGGCCCTCAATGTCCCTCAGTGGCCCTCAGTGTCCCACAGTGGCCCTCAGTGTCCCTCAGTGGCCCTCAGTGGCCCTCAGTGGCCCTCAGTGTCCCTCAGTGGCCCTCAGAAGCCCTCAGTGGCCTTCAGAGGCCCTTAGTGTCCCTCTGTGTCCCTCAGTTGCCCTCAGTGTCCCTCAGTGTCCCTCAGAGGCCCTCAGTGTCCCTCAGTGTCCCTCAGAGGCCCTCAGTGTCCCTCAGTGTCCCTCAGTGTCCCTCAGAAGCCCTGAGTGTCCCTCAGTGTCCCTCAGTGGCCCTCAGTGTCCCTCAGTGGCCCTCAGTGTCCCTCAGTGGCCCTCAGTGGCCCTCAGAAGCCCTCAGTGTCCCTCAGTGTCCCTCAGTGTCCCTCAGAAGCCCTCAGTGTCCCTCAGAAGCCCTCAGTGGCCCTCAGTGGCCCTCAGTGGCCCTCAGTGTCTCTCAGTGTCCCTCAGTGGCCCTCAGTGTCCCTTAGTGTCCCTCAGTGGCCCTAAGAAGCCCTCAGTGTCCCTCAGTGTCCCTCAGTGTCTCTCAGAGGCCCTCAGTGTCTCTCAGAGGCCCTCAGTGTCTCTCAGAGGCCCTCAGTGTCTCTCAGAGACCCTCACCACACTGTCAGGGTCC